GTCTAGAGCACCCACCCATCTTGCTCAAGCCCTTATGACAGTTCAGAGTAGAGACTCAACTTAAGGGCAGCTCACCCAAAGGTGGGCCAGTGGTCCATGACCTAATGAGAAAACATAACTTGGGACAATCAGATTCTTCTGTTAGGATTGGGATTGGGACACTGAAGGACTGAGCTAGTGAAGTGAGGGCATCATAGATTTTAGCTCAAGAAGATTGGGGGTTAGAATGATGATGGGTCATGTGTCAGCAGACAGCATTATACACATATTATTGAGAAATATGGGGTAAATACCAAAAGAAATGGCATAAAATGTCACAAAGGGTTGCATCTGAAAAAGGGGGTGAGGAATTTCTTTTTTGTTGTTATATATAATCCTTTCAGTACTACTTGAAGTTTTGAACTCCAAGCTTGTATTGCTGGGATAAAAATCAAAATTAAAAACTAAACAACAAAACAAATACCTCAACCTTGGGCCTTTAAGCCAGAACAACTAACCTACATATCACATGACCACTAGCTGAAGAGAGGCAGCTCCAGACATTCCTGTCCTTACTTGCCTCACTTCCCACCTAGCCCCTCCACTGCTGTAAAAATCTTTTTAAATTAAAAAGCAAAACCTGTTTAAGGAGAGCATTGAATTCCAAGTTAAGGAGTTGATCACTCCAACAATTTTGAGTAAGGGGATAACTTTGCGTAACGAAATGACTTTAACGTCTGTATTTTAGATAAAGTGCTTATCTATGTGCAGGATAAATTTAATACAGATTGGCTGGTAGCCAGGAGATTGGTTATGAGATTGAAAATAGGACTAAATTGATGGCAATAGCATTGGAGAGAAAAGGCTGGTTAGAGATATAACAACGTAGGACTTCTTGGTGGCTGATCAGATATGAGGGACAAGAAAAGTAAATTTACTGGGTATCTCCCACTTTCCCATCCTTCCAAAATCCCTTCCTAAAGGGCACTGCCCCGTCATCCATTCCATGAGATTCTGGTAGTGAATCAGAGTAAACTCATGTCCTCAAAACTGAAGGAGATGTATCCCAAGTTGGCCACTCAGCATTCTCCTTCCCTGGACAGTGTTTAGTTCACAGACATAACCCAAATGAACAAAAGTCCTTTATGGGAACTTTTCTGCCAGTGTTGTTGGGGAAGATGCTCTCTCTCCTCATAAGTTTGGGATGCCAAAGGCCATCATCCTGACATACAGATAGGGCCTATCGAATAGACAGTAAGTCAAACAGACATCATTTGATTAAACCCATCCATGCCTGTACCAATAGGAGACAGAAAATTAACTTTTTTGCTTATGATTGTTTAAATTGGATTTCTATCATTTGCATAAGAAAGAGGACTTATTAACAGGGAGTCAAAGATGGTTAATTTACATATCGACAAATATTTACAATGTTCTACCAAATGGACAGTTTACTGTCCAGTATAATGGGAGATAAAAAGGAATTCTAAGACATGCCCTATAAACCTTGAGATCTATTCCAGCCTTGTCACCAATTATCAATGTGACATCAAACTCATGTGATAGCTCTAGGATTCATTTTTCTCTTCTATAAAACTGAGGAAAAAGAGGATTGCATTGTATTATTTTCTAAAGATTTTCTTCAGCTCTAAAAGTTTTATGATTCTATGCTATGACATAGAAGAATTTGTGAGTCACTGAAGGTTCTAAAATGTGGAAGATTGGCATGCAAAACCAATTAAAGGAAAAGAGACTGGAAGCTACCAAGACTGTGGTAAAAATTCAGAAGGAACATTTCTTGAGCCCGACCTAAAGAACATGAAAAAGTGACTAAGGGAAGAGGATGGACATAAGAAACATTAGAAGAAGGTAACAATTTGATGCCTGTATATATGAATATAAAGGTGAGTCAAGAGTTACTCCAAGTTTGCTAGTCTGGGATATTAAAAGAACAACAAAAATCTTTAACAAAAATGAGGTCATTGGGAAAGTACAAGTATTGGGGGAGAATCAGTTCTATTTTGAACATGCTGAATCTTAGCTGTTGGTATATATTAAAATAGAAAGTCTACAGACTTGAAAATTTAGAACCGAAGTTCAAGTGAGAGAGAAGTCAGGGCTTACATTCTATTTTTGAGAATAATTGAACATAGAGGGAGTAGTGAAGGTCCTGGGAGTGAATAAAAGTTATAATAAAAACTAATAATTGGCATGATCAGTTTGTTTATTCATAGGCAAAATACATTAAAATTGTATTTCATAAGCCTTTAGCTCAATTTATAAATATAATTAGTCTACTTATAAATCTCATAATCTTTGCATAAAAAATATAGATAATCACTTCCACTCATGTTCTGCTATGGTTTAATTAATTCACAAGCTTAACAGACTAAATATTCCTTAAATATTTAACATCATTTTCATACTCAACTAACCAAATTTTCTTAGACATTTTAAATTACAATTACAAAGGTAATATATCTAACATCTAGTCGGTGAAAGCATTCATGTAACTCCTGAAAATCTATTACCAATAAACCAACCATAGATGTGGCCATGAAATTCTCTTAAATGTTTCATACATCTTGAAGCTGTCAAAGCACACACCACCACAATAATGATAACTTTCATAGAAATAATGAAACTGTACTAATTTACCATCTTTATATTAAAGGTTACATATTGTGGCAGACATGGAGATGTGCCACTCAGATACTTCTTCAAGAAAGGACTAGCTGGCCTGCTTGAGGGCAGGTAGCTTGATCAGCAGATGACCTCCAGCTGTCAGCTTTTTCAAGGTTTGTCTAATGTGCTTCCCAAAGCAGCCCACATCTGCCAACTCAGGGAGGGAGGGAGGAGTATAAATGTAGGGGGCGAAACATTCTTACCTACAATACTGGCTCCAGAGTTCTGTTTTAACATCTGCTTCTGGAGCCCCAGGTTAACAAACTGAGTCCTTTTTAATGGTGAGGCTCTGCTTGTTTACCCGATATATTACTGTAATCGTATTCACAATAGTTTTCCACCTAACATTAATTAAGTTTGCACACAAACACAGCTTGTAGTATGCACAACAAGCATTGGACTTAGTCCAGGCTCTACCACCAATTATTTAATACTTTCTAGAAATTGGGCAAGTTATTTACCTGTGTATGCTCTATTTCCTTATCTGTAAAACAGGGATAATCATCTGATAAGGTTGTGAATAAATGAGTTAATGCATTAACAAGTGTATAGAACCCTAGACCATGCTATTTGTTCAATAAATGCTAGCTATTAACATTATAACTAGTTCTACTATAGGTCTGAGTTCTTCTACATTGCCTATGTATTTTCTTATCTGTCTCATCAACCAACATTCTATAATAATTTGACAATTACAGAAAAAGTCCTTATGTTTCATTAATCTTAATTATCAAACTCTTCAGATTTAGCATGTTAAGTCCTAGACTTTAGTTGAACTTGTTTAAACACTATTCTGCCTATCAGTTTAATATTTGGGGTTTTCCCAGTTCATGACGATATAAACCAGACCTGTGAAGATTATATTGGGAGCATATATGTAAAAGATTTTTCTGAAATATAAAACGTGAAAATACGAGATATTATTCCAATGTTGTTCTAAAGCTAGCTACATAACTCCTGCAATTACAAAATAAAGTTCTTTGTTCTTCAAGTAAAACTGCACCCCGCCAAAAAATAATGATGTTCACCTTTGTGGTTAAAGTTCAAATGAAACCGATTTAATATAAATAATTTTAAAATAATAATGACATACGTACAGCCTACAATAGGGCAAGATGAACATGCTGTAAATGGCTTTAAAACATTGGAGACTAAGTATCCATCCTAGGAAATCATCTATACTGTCCTAAAAATTGTGTTATTAAGGGTTTGGCTTCTTTCAGCATCTAAGAGATCTGATCACACATTGAAGAAGCATATTTAGTAAAAACAAAAGCTGCCCTTACTTTTAAACTCAAGTCGGGAATTTTCTGTCATAGGTGCAGCGCCAGAAAACACGATCCAATTTTCATTTAGTCACATCTACGGAGCCTCGAAAGGCTAAAACATTGCAAACAACGAGACCTACTCTTTAACGCTACCCATCTTTTAACAAATTCCCCCTCAAGAAGCGCATCTATTTCAAGGCGCCAATTTGGAAAAACTGGACTCCAGGTCTCCACCGACGGATCTCACACAAAATGGAAGTACACGGCCCCCAAGCTTTGGCTGTGCTGTTTTTGAAAATAGGGAAAGGCGTAGAACTACGGCTTAAAATATCGAATTGCTGCAGCAGCAAAATGAGTATTCCAGAGTGGGTGGGCGGTTGGGTGCAGGCTGCCGGGCGTTCCTTCGGGGAGGGCGCCGCTGAGAGAGGTGCAAGGGCATCGAGCGGACTCTGGGCTTTCCTTTCGCGGTGACACCGCGGAGCCGCTATACCTACCGAGTCGCCCAAGGCGGCTCCCCCAGCCCACCGGGGGCTGCCTGAGAGGTCTAGTGTCGAGTAGGGTAGGGAGAAGGCGTTTTCTTCTCGATTCTAGTAGGAAACCAAGGAAAAGGGGCGGCGGCTGCATAACCTGGCCTGGGGTGCGGCCTCGGGGAACAAAGAGTTGGTGGAGGCACAGCAGCCGAGGCTTTGCGCGCTCCTCCGGCGTGTGAACCCACACAAATCACCCCTGCCGGGACAGGGCGCCAGGGCTGACGAAAATGCAGATTCCTGGGTTTCACTCCAGCCCTGCAGGACCGCCAACTGTATGTGGCATCACCCAAGCATCTGCATTCTAAACTAGCTCGGGGCGGAGAGGTTCAGGGAGTTTGAGAACAATCGCCTCATGCCCAGGTTCACCGCTTTCACCAATTCAGCTCCACGGCTGCGGTGGGGCCGCACTTCAACCGAGCTTGGTCCTCTGCTTTGGTCCCGCCCCGCTGCTCAGCGCGGATTGGAGACAGGGAGCAACTCTAGTGCTGATTGGGCAGCGGCGGAGTCGCTCGTGCAGACTGTAGGGTTCGGGTGCTCCAGAGTGCTAAGTTTATCTGCAGACCAGCGACCGCGCCAGCAGCGAATCGGATCTCTATGGAGGTGGCATAGATGATATCCCTGAGCTGAGAGCATCACCCTGTCCCCGAAACCTTCTTTCCTCTGTTTTGTTTTTCATTCCTTTCCCTTCCCCTCCCCCCTCCAGTCCGCGACGACTGGCTCTTGACCCTGTTCAGGCCTCGGTGAAGGTGAGGAGCAGAGTCGCCACCGCTGCTAAGTGGTGCGCTCTGAAATGGCCGCCGCCTTGAGCTGTCTAAAATGGCGGTCGCAGGCTCAGCTGGGGACAGCGGCGCTGCTGTGCAGCCCAGCCGCGGCGAATACCGTTCTCTCCATCGCTGATGGAGATGAAACAGAAAGATGGTGTTGGGTCCTGAGACGTTTTCATGTGGTCGTTAGCTGAGGCGGCTGCCCGGGGACGCGAGAGGAGTCCTGAGACAAGGGTGGGCTGTGACAGGAAGCGAGCCCCCCAGATGTGGCGGTCTGCGGGCAGCGCGCACCTGTGACAGGCAGGCGCTGAGGGATAGTTGGCCCGCGCCGCACATCGGGGCGACCATTTAAAGAAGCATTTAGATGTTGGAAGTGGTGTCGGTACCCACCTTCTGCCTCGCCTTTATGACTGACCTGCACTCCGACCCTGCCCTCCTGCCCCTAAGGGTGTTATTCACAGCTGGAACCGCCTGAGGGTGGGGGTGATGAAAGGGTTGAGTTACCTGTCAGTTTAACCAGAAGATGAGACAAAAAAAAAAAAAAAAAAGAGTTCCTCCGCCCCCTTTCTGGGAGTGGGATGGAAACTTTACTCAAGGGAGTCCAGATTCTTTGTCCTCGAGAAATTGAGGGGAAGCACCCCTGAAGAAGTGGGGATGAGGACCTCCTTTCTGAAAACAAAACTTCCTACTTTCCATGTCCTTCTCTGGCAGCGAGGGAGAGGGATCCTAATTTTTTAGGTGAAGCAGCAGCTCCACAAAGTTCTCTTCCAAAATCCAAATCGAGACTGTGAAGGAGAATCTACTACTCTTTTGCTCCCAATGTGAAGTAGGGCTTTCTGCTGTTGCCAGTATTAGACCCTTAACTTTCTGGCAGGTATAATCCATTGTTAATCCATTTCACTACAGAGCCCAGCAACTCCTGGTAACCAGATTGTTTCAGTGCTTCAGGAGTTAAAAGAGTATTCAGGAACATTCAAGTAATGACTACACACATGGTCTGTATAGTTGAACTTTTTGGGCTCTGTACTTGGTTTTTTGCTTACAAGGTGTTAACTCAGCAGATAGCTTAACCTTTCTGTGTCTTTTATCTCTATTTGTTTTCTTTTTGTTTTGTTTGTTTTTTGAGACAGAGTCTCACTTTCTTGCCTGGGCTAGAGTGCCTTGGCATCAGCCTAGCTCACAGCAACCTCAAACTCCTAGGCTCAAGCGATCCTTCTGCCTCAGCCTCCCGATTAGCTGGGACTACAGGCATAGGCCACCATGCCCAGCTAATTTTTTCTATATATTTTTTAGTTGTTTGGCTAATTTCTTTCTATTTTTAGTACAGACGGGGTCTCGCTCTTGCTCAGGCGGGTCTTGAACTCCTAACCTCGAGCGATCCTCCTGCCTCGGTGTGTCTTTTATCTCTAAAGTGAGATTATTAAGGTTCCTCAACTCTCCGGTAGATGAGATAATCTATATGAGAAAATAAGCACAGTTATTGGCACATAATAAACAGTGTTTACTCAAACAATGATTACCTGAGAAGATTAGTTATTGAGGGAACAAAATGGTTAGGGCAAAACACATATTTCATGTGACACTTCCATGTATAATTACATTTTAGATTCAATGCTTAGTTTTAGAGACATTAAGATGAGGCTGTACTTTTTAAATTTAGGTTTCATTTTTGCAAATTTTGTTTTTTAATGTGTATCTATGAAATTACTAGGTAGAGTAGCATCTCAAGTCAGTAAAATTGCTGGAGTACTAAACAGGATGAAAACATTAGAATTTTTACTGTGCTAGGCATCTTCTGTTCCAGTCCAAGATCTGCATTGCAGTGAAGAATCATTTGCACTGCCTAGATCCAAAATAACTGTTAATCAATGGTCATCTTACAGGTTTGTAGTTAATTCTACATGTTTCAGTGTCTAATTTTAATTTTTCTCATTCTAGGCTTTTGGTTACTCCCTTTGCTACCCCATCCCTTAATTTTATTCTTTTGAAGAGTCTGCCTTTCAAGCTGCCAAGGTGAAACGAGTGACTGCAGAAGGGAATACTCCTCATTTCAGGTATCTTATCCTCTAGCTGTTAATAGGAGAACCATTTTGATTCAGGGTCTAACATGAGAACACAAAGCTTACTCTATGGCCAAATTATAAATCAAAAGTAGCTATTGTTATAATACGTGGATAGACAAAATTTGTATGCCTTAACTGAACAGGGCTAATCATATTCTTTAGCGGTCCTTAAATAGCATTGCCCTTTTCATTATGTTCTTTTTTAATTATATGAGGAATAAACCTATTAAAATAAGAGTTTATGTTTTCTTTAGGTCCTGATTATATCTTTACTTACAGTATAGTGGAATGCAAAGGAATCAGTAAAAATATACATTACTTTGAATGAGCCTTAGTTTAGATAATACAAACATTGATGTAATTTTAAGTCCAGAGAAATGGTACCTGACTTTTAGACTATAATTTATTCTTCATTGTTAACACATGATATTTAGAATACAGTAAAATTCTGTGTCTTGCAAAATTTTGAACTGTGTGTGTGTTTTTAATACACCTCATCAGAATTGTTGCTAGCCCTGAAGGGAGACTTCAGATGTGTAATAGTATCAACAATTAATACATGTAACGACAATAGGCATCAGAAAGTTAAAAGAGATTTCAAGATACTATATACCATGAGACAGGGTTGATAAATTATTGCCCAAACTGTCTGTTTTTGTACATAAAGTTTTATTGGAACACACCTATGCCTGTTCTTTTATGTATTGTCTATGGCTGTTGTCATGTCACAACTACGGAGTTAAGTAGTTGCAACAGAGACTATATGGCCCACAAAGCCAAAAATATTTGTGTATTGGCCCTTTACCAAAAAAAGTTTGCCAGCCCCTTCCATGGGACATATTCTTCAAAGTGCCTTTCTTAAAAATATGCTTATGAACTCTTCAGTATTTCTTAGCTCATTGATTCCCAAATTATGTTTTATAGAATATTAACATTCCCTAAGTTAGTAAGTTTTGAGGAAAAGATTTGTGTTAACAGTAGTTTAAGTTGATTTTGATATAAGTTTATTTAAATATAAGATTAAGACTACTAAACGCATTGCTATAGCTTTTATTTTTATGTGATAATCTACCTTTAAGAAAAGGTGTGCCATACCAGAGAGCACCAGGAAGTCGCTTGAGAGATCACCTGATACACGAACGTATGATGTTCCACCTGCGCATTGATGCATAGGCAGCATTTACAAATTAACTGATGTATTACTGTATATCATCTCTTTGATGATTGCTCATCTTCTTTGTATCCTGTCTTATAATTTCAACACATTTGTGATACTCAATGTTTATTCTAAATTAACCATGTTTTGTACCACAAACTCATTGCCCATGGATCTGTTGCTGAAACAAGGAAATCTTAAACAAGAAGTAGAATCTTTTTGTTATCAAATTGTATCTGAATCAAATGATCAAAAGGTTGGAGTATTACAAAGTGAAGATGAACAGTTGCAGCCTTCAGTTTCTGAAAAATCAGAAAGTGAGCTTTCCAGGGTCAAATTTATATCCAATTCCAACAAAATAGCATTTAGTAAGAAACCAAAAAGAAGAAAATATGATGAAAGTTATTTGTCTTTTGGATTTACTTACTTTGGAAATAGAGATGCACCTCATGCTCAGTGTGTGCTATGTAAGAAAATTTTATCAAATAGCTCCTTGGCCCCTAGTAAGCTTCGAAGACATTTGGAAACTAAACATGCTGCGTATAAAGACAAAGACATAAGCTTTTTCAAGCAACATCTTGATTCACCTGAAAATAATAAACCCCCAACACCTAAAATTGTCAATACAGATAATGAAAGTGCTACCGAGGCATCATACAATGTAAGTTACCATATAGCCCTGAGTGGAGAGGCTCATACAATTGGAGAATTGCTTATCAAACCTTGTGCGAAAGATGTAGTGATGCGGATGTTTGATGAACAATATAGTAAAAAAATAGATGCAGTACAACTATCAAACAGTACCGTTGCACGTCGAATTAAGGATCTAGCTGCTGACATTGAAGAAGAACTTGTTTGTAGACTGAAAATTTGTGATGGGTTTTCACTGCAGCTAGATGAATCGGCTGATGTTTCAGGACTTGCTGTGCTGCTTGTGTTTGTTCGTTATAGGTTTAATAAGTCCATTGAAGAAGACCTACTATTGTGTGAATCTTTGCAAAGTAATGCTACTGGTGAAGAAATATTCAACTGCATCAACAGTTTTATGCAGAAACATGAAATTGAATGGGAAAAATGTATTGATGTTTGTAGTGATGCTTCTAGGGCAATGGATGGGAAAATTGCCGAGGCTGTCACCTTGATAAAATATGTGGCTCCCGAAAGCACCAGTAGTCACTGCCTATTATATAGACATGCACTAGCAGTTAAAATAATGCCTACATCTCTAAAAAATGTGTTAGATCAGGCAGTACAAATCATCAACTATATTAAAGCTCGACCACATCAATCCAGACTACTAAAAATTTTATGTGAAGAAATGGGTGCCCAACACACAGCACTTCTCCTAAATACAGAGGTGAGGTGGCTTTCTCGAGGTAAAGTTCTTGTAAGACTTTTTGAGCTTCGACGTGAACTGTTGGTTTTCATGGATTCTGCTTTTCGACTATCTGATTGTTTAACAAATTCATCTTGGCTGCTAAGACTTGCATATCTCGCAGATATTTTTACTAAATTAAATGAGGTTAATTTGTCAATGCAAGGGAAAAATGTGACAGTTTTTACAGTGTTTGATAAATTGTCATCATTGTTAAGAAAATTGGAATTTTGGGCCTCATCTGTAGAAGAAGAAAACTTTGATTGTTTTCCCACACTCAGTGACTTTTTGACTGAAATTAATTCTACAGTTGATAAAGATATTTGTAGTGCCATTGTACAGCACTTAAGGGGTTTGCGCTCTACTCTGTTAAAATATTTTCCTGTAACAAACGACAATAATGCTTGGGTTAGAAATCCTTTTACAGTAACTGTTAAACCAGCCTCATTAGTAGCACGGGACTATGAGAGCTTGATTGATTTAACATCTGATTCTCAAGTAAAACAAAATTTCAGTGAACTTTCACTAAATGATTTTTGGAGTAGCCTAGTTCAAGAGTACCCAAGCATTGCAAGGCGTGCAGTTCGCGTACTTCTTCCTTTTGCTACAATGCACCTGTGTGAAACAGGGTTTTCATATTATGCTGCAACAAAAACAAAATATAGGAAAAGACTTGATGCTGCACCTCATATGCGGATACGACTTAGCAATATTACACCTAATATTAAACGGATATGTGATAAAAAGACACAAAAACACTGTTCTCATTAAAATTGAAGGGTTTTGCATGTCTTTCTTGATAACCAAATGTAAGATGAAAATAAAAGACGATTTACTTCATCTCTGGTATTTGGGAGTTTAAAATGATTCAAATTTTTTTATACTTAGATTTTAAGAAAGTTAAAGAATCAGAAAATTAAACATTGTGTTGTTAGTGATATTTACATTGTAATTTCAAAGTAGTCCATGGTCATAACTGGAAAATGATTATCCATAAGATAAAGTCCCAATTCCTTAGCATAACATATCTCTTCAGGATCTAATCCTTATCAATCTTTCTAACCATGCCTAACTTGCATCCCTCGAATCCCACAGAACTTCTTGCCATTCCCTAAACTTATTAAACTGTTCATCGTTTTAAGTCTCAAAAAACTATTGTCCCCATCTTGTTTCCTGACAGACTCCTATTTGCTTTCAATACTTTGGCTTAATTTATCTCAGGTACTTTCATTCTCTCTTTCTATTTTGACCCTATTTCCCACTGTTGTATTTAATTTTTGTGTCTTTCTGAACTGTGAACTCCTTGGTGGTCTCATAATTCCCAGTGTTTTTGAACTGAGCTCTTAGAGGTTCTTATCAAGCTCTGTCTCCATTATCTGACAAAAGGCTTTACTAAATGCTCAATAAAGAGAAAACAATGTTTGTGAAAGTGAACCAATAAAAAATGGAATAGGGGTTTCCTGCCATTCATTCATTGGCATGGTGGCATGTGTACACGATGCTACCCTTTGTATTTTGGGCTCAGTTATTAGCTAGAATTCAGTGTGGCCATTATGCAAAAGTCATTGAGGGAATGTCGTAGTTTTGTGATTAAGCTTTAACTCTTGAGGGAGAGGGGAGCCAAGTATGTAGAACATTTTCAGATACTATCTTTCTTTCTCAGTTTCTATAAAGATTGTTGCAAATTCCATATACTGTAGTCTAAATTAATGAGACTTTACTCATTACTGTACTTGAAGATGCTTAGACTGGAAATCATTTTTTTTTTTTTAATACTATAAAAGGTTCCTGACTGACTTTTCTGTCTCTGGGCTGCTTTTCCCATGTCACATCACACAGCACAGGTCACCTACTCTGTTAAATATTGGTTGCTACTGAGGATAACCATTGCTTGATCTCACTCATACCTATCTCCCATTTTGGGGAGTAGGGGTATCCCCTCCATAAGGCAAAATGTGGTAAAATGACTAGATTCTAGTACCTGCACTCCACTATTTAATGTAGAACAACCTGAACTTTCTTGAACCTAAGTTATCTCATCTGTAAAATTATAATTATGCCTCCTTTGAATGATTATTACAAAGATTAAATAAGAATGTATATAAAACTCCAAACAGTGGGTAATCAGGAATAAGTTTGCAACATGTATTAGTTACCTGCCATATCCAACCATGTTCCAGCTAGACTCAAATCCATACTTCACATTTATAATCTGAGTTTTTATTTTCTGTGGAGACTCAACAGCCCTTCCAACTGGGGCTAGCCTTGAAAAGAAATAAAGAGAAACTGAAAAACAAAAAAAAAGATGAAAAGAGAATCAACAGCCTGTTAGGCCATAGGATCTATTCTGATCTGAGGCAGTAAGATAAGCATTTCTAGCCCAGGTTTTTTCCCTTTTGTCCACTTATTGAGCACCTATGTGTCTGTCAGGCACCTTAGTAGATACTTTGTATGTTATCTATAATCTCTACAACAATCCAATGGGATTAAGTAATCTGGCAATTAGCCCTAGATCACACACTAACTAGCAGAATTTAGTTTAAAATAAGTCCCCAAAACACTACATTTTCCCGTAATTGGGAAAACTTCTAAAAGCATCAAACAGTGATATAGTAGTAAAGCCTAAAATCTGGACGTGTTTTTCAAATTCCATGTTTACTTCTAAATTCATCGAAAATTAGCTGTCTGCTTCAAAGTATGGCTGCTTATGTTCATATAAAATATGGATTAAGTTACTATCAAGTAAAATTAATTCTCCAGAAGATACATCATAATTTCTCATAAATGCAGTACATTTTATATACTAATCCCAGGATCGTATCCTAGTTTGAGAAGCATGTGCAATGCCATAATGACTATGTCTGGCTTATACTTCAGGTCTGGTAACTGGACTGCTTATGTGATTGCTGAGCCTACGCCCTTGATTAGTTATCTGTCCCAGATGTTTGCCTCTTGAGATTTGAGACCTCTTTTGTTTTCCAAGCTTTTCCCTCTAATCTCTGAGAGTCAAAATTCCTGCATTTAAATCCAAGCCCTTTAACCTAAGACCCTGCTGTCTGCTCCTAGACACTACCCACCTTGATTCTTGATACCAACTGTTTATCTGTTCTATAACCTATCAGGTATGAATACCTTGCATGGCTAGGGAGAATGGACTTTTAGAACCTGAAGGTGGCTCTGGTATCTGCTGAATGATAGGCAAGTGTAGTTACAGATGGCAACTTCTAGATTACCCTAACCTATTGTAGTTACCATGACTGAATCCCAAAAGAGAAAATTAAAATTCTTTTCCTTTATGTTTAAACCCTACTTACCCTGCAGAATTGGCTTTCCATTCTATAAATAAAATCAAAGCAAACAAAGTAAGGGGCACTGCCAGCCTCCCTTTCTTACATACTTCCGAAGTCCTTTGGTTACCATTCTGCCAGTACAACATCCATGAGACTGCAAAACTAGAGGCTCTATCTGGAGCAAGAAGGAAGCCTCAATAATGGAAGAGATATTTGGGGACTAAATTCTCATGGTACCCTCAAGTGACAGCTACCCTTCCTGTTTATGCATGAAACAGTAAAATTAATGTATCCAACCCAAAAGGACTTTCCCACTTTTAATCCCTATATTGAAAGCAATTGAAATTGAAATTACCTCTTTCCTTTTTATTTTTTTTAAAGTCTTGCTCTGTCACTAAGGCTGGAGTGCAGTGGCTCAGTCATAACTTACTGCAGCCTCGAACTTCTGGGCTCAAGTGATCCTCTCACCTCAGCCTCCTGAATGTCTGTGACTTAAGGTGCACACCACCAAGCCCAACTAATTGTAGAGACAAGGTCTTGCTATGTTACTCAGGCTGGTCTCCAACTCCTGGCCCCAAGCGATCCTCCCACCTTGGTCTCCCAAAGTGCTGGCCAGATTACAGGCATGAGCCACCCTGTCTGGCCTCAATTTTTTTTTTTTTTTAGAGAGAGAGTCTCTGTAGCCCTGCTCACTGCAACCTCAAACTCCTGGGCTCAAGTGATCCTCCTGCCTCAGCTTCCCGAGTAGCTAGGACTACAAGTATGAGTCACCATGTCCAGCCTCAATTTCTTAATGAGGATTATTTCGTACGTCAATCCTGCCCTACCACCATACATTCATAGATACACCAATCATAAGCTCTTTGTAGCTATGACTTATTTGGGGTCTTCCATAAAACTTGGCAATTTTCTAATCCTATAAAAAATGCACAGGGAATTAAATTTCTTAGTTTAAAAAGTAAAGTGTTAAGGTGAAATACACACAAAAAGGTAAAACAAAAAAAATAAGGTGAAATACAGTTCATACTATAACATTACAAAAAATTATAATCCTTAACCTTGCTGAAACAGATAAGGTAGTAACTAGTTTGCCTTTCATACACTTCAAAAGTAGCATTTCTTTAATTAACTCCCCTGTTGCCTTAAAAATGCAATTTTGTTGCCCAAAATGTAATTCACCTGCATTTCTTGAAAGAATCCATCAACTGTACACATTTACTTTTATTTTTTAAAGTTGATATAACTAACTGCACTGTTAATTAGTACAATGGAAAGAATTCTGAAGTGGGTGTCAAGAGACTTGTGTTCTGCAACTAATTAATTGCCTTGAGTTCATCCCCCTCTCTAGGCCTTAGTGTCTTCATTTATTAAGCTAAAGAGGTTGAATTAAAATGAGTTCTAAAGTATCTATCAGATAATATCTAAATTTAAAGCTTGATTAGGGTGATAATAAGATATGCTCAGTCATTTGGAATATGTGTTTTTTCCCTTGGAAGCCAAGCTTTTTCAATGAGTGTTTTACCATAATACTTTCCACCAACCAAATGATAAAATGTATAAATTGCTCCATTGTAGATACTTATTGGATGGAGGGAATGAAGTTTTGTGTTTTTGTTTTTGTTTTTTGGAAAGATGTACTTTGAAATTTAGAAAACATTGGAAGGGGAACAAAAATGTTTGGTTATGACTATATTGGAATCCATATAGATTAAATGGGAACTAAAGTGTAAAGCAGACTGCAGTGAAAATTGTTGGCTATCTCCCCAGCATCTATTTTCCTCTCCCACATCATATCCTGATTTGGTATCCATTCTTTTCCTACATAACCCATGACTTAAGCAGAAGCTGACCCCACTCCAGCTTTGCGAGTGGTGAACCTGTTTTGTTTAACAGAGTAGCTTTCAAACTTTTTTTGACCCTAATCCACAAAAAGAAACAGATTTTACATTGTGATACACATACATGTGTGTGTTCACCAAAGTTGAACACATAAAACATAGTAACTCATAGTAAAACATAGTAACTCATAAAACATAGTAACTCTTCATATGTGTTATACAGTCTCAAATTTTATATTCCTGTTAATTTTTTAATGATAGAACCCAAAAATTAATTTCATGATCCATTCTTGGGTTATGACCCACTGTTTGAAAAACCCTGGTGAGTATAATGCTTTTGCCCTTATAAAAATTGTTCAGGAACCTGGATATAAGCATACTGAGGTATACTATTACTCTGGCCGCAGGTATTGGTCCAGAAATAGCATGTGACCCAATACAGGCCAGTGAAAAGCAAGGGCAATGTTATGAGGCTTTTGAAAAAAGACGTTTCCTATTAAGGAAGATCATCCTGCGTACATGGGAGCTGGAGTACTGCAGCTTTCTAGCTACCAGCTTGTGAATAAAGCTAACACAGAAGAAAGCAAGAGTGAAAAAATTAGAAATTATACCAGAGCCCTGACTGAACCACCTTTTTCTTTTTTCTTTTTATAGAGACAGGTCTCACTATGTTGCCCAGGCTGGTCTCAAACTCCTGGTCTCAAGCAATCCTCCTGCCTCAGCCTCCCAAACTGCTGGGATTACAGGTGCAAGCCACCACACCCAGCCCTATGAACCATACTTAATTACTATGCTG